GTGGGCATTGGACCCACACCTAATTTTCAAAATTCTAAGGATCTAACGTATTGGGCTCGTAGGTGCTCATCGGGAGGATTTGCTCGATAAACCATTAAGTTCTTAAAAGAAAGCATTTTTCTTGAAAACTTTCTTTATGAATACTTTCCTTAAAACGAGGTTTAATACTATAGTATTTTACTGAAATCACATCTCGGGTTCTTTGATAACTTTTTGTTAAAAACCAACACTGTGTTAGTTTTGTTTTGTTAAAACCGTGTAGTTTATGAAATCTGTGTTTTACTACATCTTAGAGTTAGATTTCAAAATTTTGTTCTTCGCGATAATTCTTCGTCTCGTCGAGATCTAAAATTGTCATTTTTGGTGAAAGTTGAAATTCAGCCTCTAAATGCCTCGTTTGGCTGAAAATAGTGGCTACTATTTTTTTTAGTTTACCTAGAATACTGCAGCATTTTAAAAAATGCTGTAGCATTCTTTTTTAAAATGCTGTAGAAATACTGTAACAATTCTTTTTAAAATGCTGTAGCAATTCTCTTTTTTTCTAAAACTGTGTTGGACAGTCTGAACCGTTTTTAAAAAATGTCTTTAAACTTGCTTTTAGAGTTAAAATTGAGTTTTGTTACAATCACAGAAAATGTCCAAAACATCGAGAACCATAAGTTTTAATTTAGAAATGCTGAAAAATCTCGCTTTAGGGTCCTCAATTTCACATTCAAAGTAACCGGAAAATTTTTTCCTCCAACCCTAAATAAGCTTAAACCAAACATAAGCATATCACATAATACTAATCAAATTAACCTCAAAATACACAAAACTAACATAAAACTCACACACTCTTATTACAACTTATTTCCTCAAGAACCACAAATTACATCCTTGATTTCCAACTAAATTTTGGGTAGGAAAATATAGGAGAGAGGTTTAGAATATATACCCTTGAAGAAGATCCTTGGTTAGGCTCCTCCTAGAATACTTGATCACCTTCTTCTTCCTCTAAGGTTTGTTAATGGCTTGGAACTAGAAGAGTATAAGAAAATTTGAGAAGAATATTTCTACATCTCAAACTTTACTAGAACATAAGAAAGAGAGGGTTTAGAGTTTATACCCTTGTAGAGATGCTTGACTAGACTCCTCTTAGAACCCTTTGATCTTATTCTTCTTCTTCTATTATTTGCTAGTGGCTTAAGGTTAGGAGAGTGAGAGAAATTTTTTGAGAGGAAATGGTGTAGTGTGGCCGGTTTTGGTGTGTGGAAAAGGGGAGGAAATGTGTAAAATGGCTGACCTAAGGCTTGCACTAATGGTCTAACATTTATAGGCTTTACTTGATCTCTTCTTAGTTCTTAATTAAGCCTATTAAGCTAGCTTAATTAGCTGAATTTTTAGGTTAATTCCCCTTGCTTTGGCTGGCCGGTTGTGTGCTTCAAGAGGGAAGTGAAGTAAGCATCCTTGTCAAATAGTTGATTTGACTCAATCTCATCATGAAATCCTCTAGCACACTCCACTAGCCAAAATTTAGCTACAATTCCCTAAGCTTGGCCGGCCAAGTGGAGAGAAAGAGGGAAAAATATAACCTACCCCTTGTACCTTTGGCCACTCTCTTAAGTTTCCCCTTAAAATTGTTCAAAATTATATTGGCTGTAATTTTCTCATGTATATATATATTGGATGCTAATTCGTACTGTGCTTGGAGATTCTTGGAATTAAGATTCTCAAACTGTATCTGTACTGAAAATTCTTCCGCCTTAAAGTACGACGAGAATTTAATCGATCGAATTTACTTGATCGCAAAGCATGAACTTAACATGAAATCTGCTACAGAATTTAGGAATAAAAATGTTAATTCCGTAACTCCTTCAGTCACAAAATATAACATAATATATATTTTTTTTCTAGGAAAAATCCTCGACTTAAATACATAAATTGCATTATTTAAATTATGGAATTTTCTCGGTCATTACAACATCCAGTACATCTCTGTTAGCAAGTGCTTGGATTTTGATAAAGATTCGTTGCGATATGAGGTTCTCGTTTCTCCAGCAAGTTGTGACGGCTATGGGCACATATTGACTCGTCTTTGCTCTCTGAGTCATTTTGTGCCGACGGTGCACACCACCACCCATCGAAAGTGAAATCCGATGAAGGCACAACGACATTCTGATGACGGTGGTTCGGTGAGATTCGATCGTAGAAGTCGGTTCCGTTTACTTCATCTCGTCACTCTGAGTCCGTAAAGACCAAAATCACATCGACTAGAGTCGAACGATGGAGATATTACGATCGAGATTTAAAGTGCTTTCGAACGCAACTCATTTAGAGCTTTCTAATGATCTAGGAGGTGTCAAAAATGGATGCCGGAAGCTCGTTGGATGGTGTTGGTCGTGCACAGATATGGGGGTGGGGGGGTGTGTGTGTGTGTGCGCGTGTGTGTGTGTGAGAGAGAGAGAGAGAGAGAGAGAGAGAGAGAGAGAGAGAGAGAGAGAGAGAGAATTCTTTAAAAAAGGAAAAAAAATGTTGAGAAATAAATAAGCTGAAGGATATAGAAAATAACCTACAAGTTATGAAAAATAACCTACAGGATATGAAACATAATCTATAGGATATGAAAAATAAACTACCAAAAAAAATGAAAAATAAACTACAAGATATGAAAAAATCTACAAGATATGAAAACTAACATGCATAATATTTTTTAATGACATAGGATACATGTACTAACAGTTGCAGAAATAAGATTGTGTTACTTTATTGATAATATTTTTGAAAATTCTCCATTGTTTTAATCCAAGTTGAAACCTAATTACTTAAAACATAGGCTCTACGTTTTCTTTTTACTAGTACCACGTAGGCTCCTCACCCCATGACATCGCTCTGACGTGGGCTTCATTACCTCCCCCACCCCTCACCATCGCCAACACGAACCCTCATCATCCCTCCCTAACACAAATGCCAACTAACTTTTCTTTGCATCACATACCCTAAATAAGAGCATTAAATGATCAAAGACAATAAAGTTCTAGCTACCACGTTAACGGATAACTCTTTTAAAAGCCGACTGCTAAAAAAAAATGTTAGACATATGAAGGAGGTCGACTAGTATAAAAGGATACAAAAGACAATATGAAGCCAACCATACCTACAATTGTAGATGAAAAAGCTTCTGAAAGCATTTACGAAGTCAAGGCTACGCAAGAGATGAGATTCGCGAGATTTGCTTAAAGATTTGCTATTTGTAATCAAATATATGAAATTTAAATAAGCAAATCATCATGATTGATTGTAATCTCTATCTTTTAGGAAACTATCCTAAAAGATAAGAGAAATAACTCAAATTCAAATAGGAAAAGTTTATGGGCAGTGACTTAAGTTATAAATAAAAGATTATGAGTCAGAAAATTCCTAAGTCACATTCTGAGCATAGTGTGTGTTCTCTTCTAAAGTAGTGAATTTCCTCTCCTCCCCATAGTGGACGTAGCTTTCAAACTGAGAGTGAACTACTATAATTTTTGTGTGTTCTTTCTATTTAATTACTTTTAATTGTGTTTTTGTTCATTTAATTCGCGTTAACCGTAAAAAAATTTATTATCATTCTGTTGATAAAATTTCACCGTCAACAAAGAATATAAATTTTAGAGACTCAAAAAATAGATATGTGAAAAAAGGTATTTTTTGAGCTTTCTTTAGTAAATAGGGGAAATTTTGTAAAACTAGAAAATGACTGTTTATTAATGATAAACTATGATAAATCGATTTAGCACTCATTGATTTTGTGGTGTTAAGTAGTTTATCACTAAATGATCAATAACGATAAGTGATTAACTAATTTCAATTGATAACTCACCAATATATGATTGATAAACCATTAGTAAATTAATGGTAAATTGGTTTATCAATGATAGACCATGATATGTTAGCGATTGATCACTATAAAAAAAAATGTTTGCAAAAGAAAAAAGTCGGTCATTTGCCTAAAAAACTTTGACCATTAATTTAAAGGGAAAAAAAGAATTACCGATAGTTTTTTATTTTTCAACTGCCAGATATGTATTAAAATATGTCTGTTATGTATATTTTTTTAATTATATGTAATTTTAATCAGATTTAATAGTTAAAAATTAAAACTACTGGTAGAGTGGGCTATCTGTAAAACTCTAAAAGGAGTCCTCAAAATTAGCCATCTACCTAATTTTTCCTTTCAAAAAATTAATTTTAAGATCATATTGATTTTTCTGCTTTTGTTTTCTTGTGGGCCATGTGCACGATGACATTTTCATCAAAATTTTAATGGAGAATTACGGTTTCTACCGCATTGCTTACTATTAAAATTGTCTGAATAAAATCGATATCACATATCAAGTTTTGTTATTGATCCGTATTTTGTACCATTTTGTATATAAATTAAGCTTAAATCACTCCATAAAAAATAGTGTGTTTAAATACCAACCCTGAGAAGTTATATTCATCCAGCAAATCTTAGTTTGAGTTCTGCAAGGAAGAAAAAAAAAACTTAAGAGATGTTTAGTTCATGAATTATAACCATGAGATTAAAACTATTTTTAATTTATGTGTGTTTTTTATGAGAGAAAATATTATAACGAACTACGAACTATGATTCGAATTAGGAGACGAATCTCCCAACCAAACAACCCTAATTTCAAAAGTTTTTTCCACATAAAATTAGACGAGACCGAATGGCTATTGCTTTGGTTACTAAGGGTGTTAGTTTGTTGCATTTAAACTCATAATTTTAATTCTGTTATAATATTTTTTTAAAAAAATTAAAATTAAAATATAAAAATTACAAATTATAAATTTAAAGCATGAACTAAATGAGTATTCACTACTTACAACACTATTATTTTTACTTATAGATTGCTACGATGTCGCAGCGCCCTTATACGTAATTGACAACACATACAAAATTAATTGAATCAATACCATATTAGCTTGCCATATTATAGTCACTCCCTTCACTTTAATTTAAAATTGAAGGAACACACAAAGTACCGTTTCTGCTACAGAGAGAGAGAGAGAGGGGCAGAGAGGGGGAGAGAGAGAGAGAGAGAGAGAGAGAGAGAGAGAGAGAGGAGAAGCAACGCAACGCAAGTGAATGAATGAAAGCAAGGAAGGAAAGGAAAGGAAGCAATGAACGAAGAAGAAGAAGAATGGGACCCTGATTTCCTTGACCAACTCATCCATGTTGAAGAGCTCGCCCTCTCCTCTTCCTCTTCCACCGCCTTCCCTAACCCAAACCCAAACCCAAACCCCCCTTCTCATTCTGACTCCCTTCTCCCTCCTCCGCCGACTAACCACCAACACCACCAACCGCCGCCTCTCCCGCCCGTCACCTACTCCCCCCCTCGCGAGCTCTCTAAGCGCCCGCCCCCCTCTTTCACTCCCGCTTCTTCCGCCGCCCTCGATCACAAAGACCTTGAGATTCAGCGCTTGCAGGTTAGGGTTTTGATTGTCCAGTTTTCTGTTCAGATAATCTTCTGTTTGGTTTTGTCGAAAAATGATACCATTTGGAAGTCCATGATTTTGCTATGTGTTCAAAGAAACGATCTTTTTCTTTGTTTGTTCGAATGTATATCTTAAACGTAAAGTTTAAACTTTGGGCCAACCTTTTTCTCGAAATTCGCCAGTATATGAATTTATTTTTAGGATGAAATGTCTGGAATTTGATCGAGTTTGATAAACTCTAAATGCAGAGGGAGCTCGGATGCGTGTCGAAGCAGCTTTCGAATTTGGTATGTTCGATTTTGTTTGCGTTATTTCTTAAAATGTTTAAAATTTGTTGCGAATTCCCTGGGTTATATTGCTGGGGAATATTTACAAACTTATTCATGTTCTTGGGGTTGCTTTGCTGTTCAATGAATGATAGTGTTTTCTGGGGATTTTTATCAGCATCTTATCCCCCTTCAGGCTTCATTGTTCGTTTGTTACGTTGTTACATGATCAAATTGCTTCATCATGTTCATAATACTTATTGATCATCACTAAATTCCGTGAAAGACTATAATGACCATAGTAGATTTATCGCACCTATCTACTTTCTTCATGTATTTATTTTTAATTCGTAGTTTGGGTTGCTTATGCAAATATTATGCGTAGTGTTATAGTTTATTTCTTTAGTAACATTATTCTGATTCTCAGTCCATTGAATTTGATATTCTTTTTTTTTAATTATTATTTTGCCATAATGACTTGAATGAATGAATGATTGATCTGCAGTATTATTTTAAAGACTTTTTAGTTAATTGGTTTGCTTTCAGAAACAAGAGTGCTCTGAACTAAGAAAGGAGAGAAACAAGAAAGATGGACAACTTAATAACACATCTTCCACAAACGAAGAAAAAGATACAGGTCTTTGCTATCCAAAATGCACAAATTCGTGAGTATAAAGTTTCTATCTTTATGTTTTTCATAACATATTTATGTTTCGCCTTACAGTGAATGTTTGAACTTGAAATGCTTCTTTCTCTAACCACTTTCAAGGCCATGTTGAGAGGTTTATATGCTGAAGGTTTGTTAGTCAAAATGAATGAACGGTTTCGTATCTAGGTTGTGGTTCTTGACTTCTTGTTGTTGTTGTTGTATTTTTTTTTTTATTAACATTGTCGCACTCGTCCTTGAACGTGAACAGTATCTAAGTGGATTAATTTTACCTTGCCATAGTGTATATGATAATACTCACATATACTCGAATGTATATGATAATACTCACATCCCCCACCAGAGCACTGGCAATTATTTCTTGTTTACTTAGACATTAATCATTAGGTAAACAAATTGGAAGAATGTCAAACTTTTCTTAATTAAGGGGCTAGGGGGCTATGAAATATACACAACATAAGAAGGCAAAGAAAAAAAAAGGAAAAGAACATCACATGCGCACGTACTTAATCTTGCATTCACACATACACAGTGGAGGGCTGTAAGTCGTCAGAACTTTCCAGCGGAGGAACCCTTTTTCAAATTACTCGGCCAATAATGGCTTCTAAAGGTTAAGATACAATAGAATCTCAGAGCAAAACTAACACTTTGCAGACTAGTATCCAATTACATAGGTACATTGATTAGGTAACATACTTTCAGTGAATCATATACTAAGTTTTGTGTGAAGTGGGAGTTCTTCTTGAAACCAGAAAATGATTATTACCTTCTAATTTCTATAGAAGTTTGATGTCACGAAAGGTTGTTTTGATTAATTGAGAACTCTGACTCATAATAGTGTATGTAGCTAGACAGTTTTGCATGTTAGTTGCTTTGTTGCTGAAGATAGGTTAGGGTCCATTAGTTCCCAAAATTGATGAGTGATTCAACGCGCCGTAATTTCTCAAATATTTAGTGCTCTGCCTACCAAATTGTGCAAGGCTTTTGGTCGTGTTACTGTTCCATTATTTTTTTTTCCTGAATTGTTACTGTTCCATTATTTTGAAAGTGAATTGTTGAACTTAAAAGCTCTTTGTAAGACCTGTTAGTGGAAACTAAAAAGGAGACAGAATCCATTAGTTCCCAAAATTGAAGAGTGATTCAACTCGTCATAATTTCCCAAATATTTAGTCTCTGCCTACCAAATTGTGCAAGGCTTTTGGTCGTGTTACTGTTCCATTATTATTATTTTTTTCTGAATCGTTACTGTTCCATTATTTGAAAGTGAATTGTTGAACTTAAAAGCTCTTTGTAAGACCTGTTAGTAGAAACTAAAAAGGAGACAGAATTTCACTCGCGTTATTTTCGAATAATTGAAAAAAAAAATCATAGAACGACTATCGAAATGCATTATAGTATCTAGGTTTTGTGATTTTTGTTTCCCTACCACCCTGTTCATTAACTTGGGATTCAGTGAATTTCAATTTAAATTCCCAGAGAAAAGGATTAAGTTCTAGTAGAATTGAATTTTAGGATTCCATTAAGGTGTTTTCTAAACTATCAGGATTTATTTTCTTGAAACACGTCAGGAATTGAGGCCCCGTTCATTTCGCTGATTCGAGTTTAGAATTCGAGTTTTGCTACAGTAAAAAGCTCTCAGAAACAATCACATCTAACTTTTTTGCTACAGTAAAAAGCACTCACATAAAATCACATCTCAACTCGAATTAAAAACTCGAATCAGCGAACTAAATGGGCCCTGAGTTTTAGTTGAAATTCAATTCCACTTTTAATAAACCAAGTAATTGGAATAAAAAGTATAGTTACAATTACAAAAATACCTTTGTGCAGAGGAAATAGTTAAATTAAGTTGACGTATATTTGGTAAAGAAGATAGTTACTCCATATTCTTCAGCAAAAGGAATTTACATCTGTTGGTTAGAGGTGGGAATTAAGTTCTCCTTGATCCAATAACCACCCACTTCATTTGATTCCTCATAACAAAAGTAATAAAGTTAAAAATCAGAAACTGAATTCCCTTTTCAAATTTCCAATAGTAATACACTGAAGGTGTAAATCATCACCTGATCTGCTGACCTAATTTTTCACATTGAACAAGAGGCCTTCTTTATGCTAAGAGATACAAGTGAAGTTCTTTAGATGAAAATGGTTATTTCACGCAGACACTTCTGCCTACTTTGAGGGCATTTGTTTGGTTTTTTGGTCCGTCTTAACATAATGCTGTTTATTTAAAGAAGTAAGAAACTTGAGCAGGTTGTGGGCTGTTTACATCGCCATAGCCATCGGTTTCATTCTATTGTTATTATTTTTTTGTTTATCTTTGTGTTATAGAAGAAAGAAAAATCTGAATAACGAATAATAATGGGACAGGGATAGAGAATACGAAGCTCTTGGTGTGGGCCATCCTGGGATTTCTCGACAATCTCCGAATGTTGTATCCTCAAGTAAGAGGGATATCTTTTAATTGATATTTATGAGGACTTAGTTATATTATTCTCTCTTTTCCTGCTATTTTTTAAACTTGTTTGCTTTTATCTTGTAATTAGCTACATCAAGCTGTAGAGCCATCAGAGTTCAAGCAGATGTTGCTGGGGTTTGTGCCGAAGTATTCTTAAATGATGATCTGCCAACTCATCAGGATCTCTCCAAGAAGTTGCTAGACATTTGGGGTTTGCCAAAAATCCCAACATTGGGAAGGAATCTAATTTCTAATCTACTTGTGGCTTGCCAAACAGATCTGCATGTTCTGTTTGGGTTTATGGATATGAATTTTTCTGTCAAATTAAGAATGGACTCTCTAGTATGTGAGAGCTCTGCTTCAGTTTCACAGTACCATTTGCAATCATGTCATACATTGGAAGCTACAAAAGTGTCGCATTTCTATTCCGTGTTGACAAAGGTACTGCAGACTGTAAGATGTGCATATTTATATTTATATAATCTACTTGCCTTAGATGAGTTCTAAAACACATGATTATGTGCATAACTGCATGTATAGTTCAACACGACACATTTATATTTATAATAATGTATATCCCTCAGATGAGTTCTAAAACAAACATTGTAGACCATTTTCCTGGTCACAATGGAATTGTTATAATTTGCATCTTTGCTACCACGGTTTTTTGATACATGATTTGTTACTTGTATTTGGGGCGAAGAAGGGAGGGGGTGAAACAGGAAGCAGGGTGAGGTTTCCTAATCTCCAGGTTTTGCCATTTGCATATGTAACTTTAGTACTTACCTCATGGTGTTATTACATAGATCTTAAAACTTTTAATACGTTTTATAACATATGCATGTATAACTATTACTAACTTATAAGCAAAACTTCCTAAAGTGGAGGGAATGGGAAAAAAGAAAAGAATCCATATGGTGTTCTGGATATGCTCTCTAAACCCTAACTTTAGTACTTAGCTCATGGTGTTATTACATAGATCTTAAAACTTTTAATACGTTTTATCACATATGCATGTATATCTATTACTAACTTATAAGCAAAACTTCCTAAAGTGGGGGGAATGGGAAAAAAGAAAAGAATCCATATGGTGTTCTGGATATGCTCTCTATGTAGTTAAAATGATACTATTGTTTTGTATTATTTTTATTTTACTCGATATAGATTTTTATTTGGGTGCTTATCATACCTCATCACGTCTCTCTCTGCAGATCAATACTGGAATGGCACAACTGGAGGCTTTGTTGAAACCGTTGCTGGATCTTTGTAGTGTTGAAAATGTAAGTTAGGGAATTCACTTTTCACAATTTTCACCAACTGAAATGAATCTGAATCTCCTGAAAATTCCTTTATGTCCATAATTGTGCATGTATATCAAATATTCAATTGTCGATATTTTTATATCATTTATTGATTTATGTTTTCATATGGATAATTAAATATCTGTTGTCTTCTGTTTTCTTCTTGTAGTTTATTTGACTTTTGCCGACCGCAATTCAATTAGTTTGTTTATGTCACAGGTTGTCATTGTTCATAGATCTCTTCATATACTGCATATATTTCTGCAGCACCTGTTGAGTTTCGAAAGAAAATCTGGAGAAAGGTATTGCTCTCTTGATCGCATATTATGTGGGCTTAGTTATTTACTTTGAATAGACTTATTTAAGAGTTTATAAAATTTAGAGTAATAATTAATGAGGTTTGAAACAGACAGCAGGAAGGAGCTCCTAACCAAAATGATTTTGCATAAATAGAAAGCAACTCTAAACGTAGAAAACTTGAACTCAGACCTAATTGTAGTAGATTACTGGAAGACAATTGAAAGGATTTGTGTTAGTGCAGTATGTTAGTATAATTTCCTGTAGATAATTTTTTGTTTGTTTCATGAAAGATGTTACCATCATCTTAGTTTTATCATTTTTTTGAAATGTATTCCTTCTATCGATAGTCGGTTGCTTAGACTTCTTTTGGGTTTAAACTTTCATGAACAGCAGTTTAGCCTTGTGTCTTTTTCAATGATTAGTTCCGGAAGTCCACTGTGGTGGTTCATCTGTGAATAATGTATTTATGGTATACCTGGTAATTCAGAGTTAGGGAAATCCTCGGCTGTTTTTGCTCGTGGTTTTTGAGCCTTTTCTTGTTAATGAAAGATGTTCTTCATAAAAATAAAATCCCTAAATCAGAATGTTTTAACTTAGTAGTAGATTGGGAATTAGTGGGCTAGATATGATGTTCAGGCTATGAGTTGAAGCTTCGTAATTTGGATCTATCTAAAATTTTGGGGATTTAAACAGAGAATTGGCGATCACTTGTTAATCAAGGAAGAGCGGGAACTTATATCTTTAGGGTGATTGTGCGGATAGGTGGGTCCTGTGGTACCCCAATGACAGAGTGGCCTTTATCAGCTTTGGATGTAAGATTTTTTTTGGCATTCAAACTGTACTTGTATTTAGCTATAGGGTCTTTGTCTTGATGGTAGAATGGTGGTTTCTTGCATTGACAATATCATTAACTTCTAGCAACAATAATGGAAACGGTTGTGGGTGCATTTTTTGTACTGCTTGTGACAATGGAAATAATTCCAACTCTTGACATTTTGAGTTCTTTGCCTTACCCAGTCTCCGTTGCGGATCCTTGTATGATAGTCTTTTGAATAGAGTAGCTATTATCTCTTCAGGCTAATATTGTGTTTTTGGTAGCTCATGCTTCATGATGCTGTGCTTTTAACCTTCTTGCTGGTAAGATAAAGTTCGATCTCTCAAAAAAGAAAAGAAAAATGATAGTAGAACTAGGATCTCTTATTGAATTGAACGTGAATGATCTGTACAGTAGCAGTACTTCGAGGGACTGCTAGACCTCCCCTTGGTTGGCTAATCTACCAAGACTTCCAAAAAGACAACTCAGAATTTTCCTACCTCCTAACTTTTTCCACTCTCTATTTATTCACCCCCTCCCCTTCATAACTGACTACTAATCTTTAGAACCAATTGTAATTAACTGTTTCTCACAGGCTAACGCTCTAACCACCTCTAACCGACTAACAAACAATTACACTTACACTTTCTTATTCTTCCTAACAAACACCTGCCTTATTAAAGGCTTATTCTTATCACTTGCATGTTCATGTGCTTATGAGCTTTGATTTGATCTTCCAGTGCAATCTGCTCAGGGAAAATATCATGATTGAGGGACTTTGCTCTGGGAACGGCGTTCTAAATCCTTGTGGATCTGGAGCTTCTACAGGGATGGACACGTTTTCTGTCAGCAAGCACAGGACATCCTTCACTGGCTGTGTGCCCTTTAGTACTAAATTACTTGATGCTGAAACTTCAATCGAGAAGGAACCATGGTATCCTGGTTTTGCAATTTCAGTTTCTCGGATAGACTGGCTGTCACTTTTCGAATTAGTGCTTCAAATTGCCATGAGAAAAACAGAAGAAATTGTAAGGGTAGAAGCTGTGTCTATTATGAACATTATTCTAATAAGAAGTAATGCTTATACAGAGAGAGAGAAGTAAGTGCAACATTTTTTTTTTTCCCGATTTAGTGTTTTAGCATAAGAATTCCTTTTAATTTTTAATGAAGCATCAATGCAAACAGGTTTGGCAATGCCCAGGTGTTTGGAAGTATCTCTCAATTGCTCAAAAAGGAAGCTGGCTTGCAAGTGCAGAAACACTCGATTCAGCTGCTCTATCTTCTATTAAATTGTATTTACATTCACTTGTTTTAGCTGTTCTGATTTCTTATTGGTGGCCTACTTGTGCACAATGCCCGTGTCTTGTTCTTTGCCATTATGACCGACTACTATCCAGCATATCTTGTTTTGTTTACGTACTACTACGGTTGGAAGTTTGTTCTTGGGCATTCTCTTGTGATTGTACTGGATTATGACAGCTTGTGATTTTTGTCATTTGAAGGTCCAAAACTATTGTTCACGTTCTGCTCTGGTTGTATGGAGGGAGGATCTGCCGGTTTCATGAATGACACCACAGAAGAAACTTCAGCTTTTCACAAGTTCACTTTAACCCTTCAGAGCTTGGCAGATTGTATATCTTGCGCTGGAAATGGTATAGAGGTAGAACACCTTTTATAGATATATTTTTTATTTTATTTATTTATTTATTTATTTTGTGGAAGCAACAACCCTTACGAGATTCCTGTACTTTTCAGGAGTTGAAGCTTCGAAGGAATGCAATTGTTTTGTTGGCTTTCTTGGCTTCATCTGGAGAATCTGGCTTTGATATTCTTGTTAGTCATAAGCTACCTAAAGATGCAAACTTTCTTATGCTAATTTTGCAAGTATTGGTGTCCGAGATGGATATAGAAGCAACTGCTATTGCGAACTCCCCAGAAGTATTTAAAGAGAGGTAATTCTTGTGTAATATCGCATATTCTTTAATGTCCATGCACATGTTTTGTAGTCCGACTTACTTAGTGTGTTTACCCAATCTCTCTCTCTCTCTCTCTCTCACACACACACACACACACACACACACACACACACACACACACACACACACACACTTTGTTTCCGAAATGGGAATTCACTTATGCCCCCTCTGTTTTTTGATACTTTTCTTCTTTAACATGTTTTTGGTTTACTGGTTTGATTCAAGCACCATTTCAATAAAAAATTTCATCATATTGTTTGCACTTTCGAACTGGTGCTTTTGTGCAGTCAGAAACCTCTTATAAAGTTGGATTTTTTTTTTTTTTGAGTGATTATGTATGGTTAGATTTAGACCTACGCTTTTTGGTTGCAATATACAAAGTTCAGGGATAACTCATAACACTACTGAAAATGAATAATTGGCTTCTTCATTTCTTTTGTTTTTTGATGATATTATCTAAATATTACTCTCTCTCTCTCTCTCTCTCTCTCTCTTCCACTAGATGCTTATGTATTTATATTGTAACGTTGTTTTGTAGGACCTTGCTAATGCGAGAGGCTCTGATACTTCTAAATAGACTTGTATCAAACCCTGCATATTCTGCTACCGCCTTGCAATTGTTGACAAAAAGCAGAGATATGGCTAGCTTGGCCATTGATATTGCAAACCGGTTGTCGAGAAAAGATCAAACAAATGACCAGTTTGATGGCATGGTTAAGCTGATAAGGAAGTCTGAAATTGTCGACTTAGCTCGAGTTTTTAAAAAACGGGTTTTCACATATATGGGAGATTACATGTCATAGAACATCTTGTGTTGACCCGAGAACTTTGTAAATTTTGATTTATAGTTGATTTTAGTCTTTAAAATAGCCATTGGAGACTGCAGAATTAGGGCTTTTTTGTTTGGACGGGTAGCTCTAGTTGATTTTGATGCGCTGCTAATAGGCGCCTTTGAGCTATTAAAATTTTGAGAGGCTATAAACGTTTTACATAAATGGTCTTGAGAGTACGCAGATTAATTCCTGATTAATGTCATTGTACTTTTTTATATAAAAAAGTTTACTTGTGTAAATTATATTGGAGAAATTATTTCATTTCCGTGATTTGTTTTCTTTTATGATACATTAGGGTGAAATTCATTCGGTGTTAATACGTTATGTAAATGAAACAATTATGTACTGTATAAATATCAGAGAGGATCCTGGCATCAGGAAGGTTGGGTGGGATGGGGTTTGAGTCTTTGAGAGGGAGGATGTGGGTTCGACCGTGTTGTATTAAAATTAAAAAAAAAAAATATATATATATATATATATATAAATAAATAGTAGAGAGGGCGCAACCAAAAACAAATAAAGTTGACCAGCTTGCAGTATGTAGCTGTTAAGAGTTATCGTATGATGGATAAAAAGGCCAGTGAATGCCATAACTTCTCATCTTGGCTCTCAATTATACATAATAACTAATAATAATACCTAAAAAAAAATTGGAGAATTTATTTAAGAGTTTGAATTTTTACTATAAATATTTTTTTGTTAGTGTAATTATTTGATTAAAAAATTATAAATCAAGAGTAAATAGTAAAAATTTTGACCCATACACTTTTAAAGAGTATTTGTTAAGATTACCTATTATACCTCTGAGAATATAGACAAATTCCCTTTTTTGAGTGCTGACAAACTTAATAAATAGGAATCTTAAGATCTTAGAAGTTCTAAAATGTCCTTGTTGACATAAATATTGGTTAAAATTTAGCAAGGCTACAAGTGAGTTTGTAGTTTATTTCAAAGGAAAAAAAAAAATACCATGAGCTTAGGATTGGTTTTTGCCTGCCTCGGGACTTGATCTCTCAACTTTCTTTAATGGCTAGCTATTTCCTTTTTGTGGCGTGTTTCCTTCCCACTTCTTGGTTTAGTTTCTCTTGGGTTTTCCTGTTGTTGTGCCTTTTTTTGCTTTGTATCAAAGAAATCTTATTTATCAAAAAAAAAAAAAAAAAAAAAATTGGATTGGTTTTCCCTTTCCTTATTACTTATATTATGCGGGTCCATGCTTTCTCTTGCAAGTGAATATATAAATAGTGGAAAAAGGAAACATTCCTCATTTTAACAAATAAACGTGCCATTAATGCTCAATGGTAAAAGGGAAGAGAACACCACTGAAAAATACAATAGAATCGTTCACACTGGAAAAGAGCACAAATGATGGAACTCAGATTGTACCATCATTGGCAAAGTTTGCTTTTGAACTTGTAAAATTAATTTACAAATTACAGACCAGCTGTTTAGAGTGTCAGAAAAAACAAGCGATTTTTGTACAATAACAATTCTAGTATTACAAATTACCTGAACCAAATCAAAGCTGTTATACATGTAATTCCTTTTTTAAGTATTCACAAAAATATTTTTTGAATATGCATCAGAACTATGTACTTAGCATTTACAATACAATGAGCCAGAAACTTTACAGTGATAAGAGTCACGAGTCTTTATAGATTTACTGATATGATTACAAGTATATACATGTAATTTACAAATATCACAAATTCACAATGAGCTAGAGAATTCCCACCTGTAAGAAAAGTTATTTCCACCGAGTATGAAGTTCATGGGTCTTTATGACTGTGCTGGGCAGGGGACAATTCTCACCATCACTCAAACTCTCCAAGGAGTATACTTTCCATTCTCCTTCTCTCCAGTACGTTGAATACACTTCTGGGATGTGAGCCACTCTCCAATACTCGCTATCTTTCACATTGGGCCGAAGAGTGTTGAATAATTCTGCAGGAATATTGGAAAGCTCGAGCAATTTAAGCTTGGTTAGATGCTCAATGCCAGAGGGAACCTTCTCCAAAAACCGACATCGTCGGATACTTAGATCTTCAAGAAGCGTCATTGCTCCTGGCTCCACTTGTATGCACTTGAGCTCATCAAACTCATCTAGACCCAAAATCTTCAGCTTTTTAAACCCGCCAGCTCGGAAGCACAATCTGTGTCCATTGAATACCTGGCATAGTACAAGATGAAGAAGGTTGGGGAGATACTGAAGGTATACCAGTGGATCATCCTTTAACCTGCTCCATTTGAAAGACAACTTGACAAGGCTATGAAGTGAGGGAATCCAGTGAGGTAACATTTCCAAACGTCCTCTCATGTAAAGCCGTTGAAGCAATACCGGAGGAGTTGAAAGGTGTTGCAAATCTATGATCTCATTCTCTTCAAATGAAGCTATAGACAATGCGCGTAGATTGGTCATCTTCCCGATAGACGAACAAAGAACTTTCCCGTCTTCTCTTCTCAGCTTTACAATGCCTAGCCTTCTCAATTGATTTAGATTCCCCAGTTCCTTCACCATGTTGCCACTGCCTTGATTTACCTCAATGAAGCAGAGCTTTTGTAGGGATTGCAGAACTCCTATATTTGCCATAACTCTAAAACCGGATCTAGAATCGAACAGTTCATAAGACACGAATTTACTTCTATATAGCAGGAGATGGCGCAGTCGTTTGAGCTTCAGTATCTCAACAGGTAGTTCAGTGACTAGAGAATGCTTCAGATCTAAAGTCTCTAAGTTCTGAAGCTTCCCAATAAATCTTGGGACTATTTTCACTTTGGTATCCCTTAAGCTCAAGTACTTCAGGTAATATAAGTTGACAACTTCAACAGGAAATTTCTTTAAATGGGAATTTTGGAGATCTAACACTGAAAGTAGCCGAAAACCACCGGGAAATGATGTATGCAGGCGTAATTTCTCAGTCACTTCAAACATGAAGAGAGAGCGTAGTTGGGATACTGACCTATTTGGCAGCAGATGTTGCAACGTGTAGTGTACCGACAGGCGTCGAGCTCTATCAGACCACTGCACATTTTGTCCTTTCACAACCATCACTAAGTTCTGATCTCTTGATTTTGAAATGATGATCTCCCGGAGAAGGTCGTGGATACGAAATGTTTTGACCCTTCCATCGCTTGTGGTTGTTGCAACTTGCATCAAGCTTCTGTTCAAGAGGTCATTGAGATAGTCATCTGCTACTTCTTCCACTACTTTACCTTCTTTTGCTTCGATGAATCCCTCCGCGATCCACAGGCGGATTAACCTCATATGTTCAATGAGATGATCCTCGGGAAAGATGCTCAGGTACAAGAAACATGACTTGAGATAATAGGGTAGATCATTGAAACTAAGAGAAAGAACCTTTTTCAAATCCTTGAGCTTGTCATTGCCATCGATCTCTGCCCCAAGACTACGAGCAACCATATCCCATTCGTCAATCCTCCGCGTATCTTTTGTAGCCAGAACACCACTGATAGCAACTATTGCAAGAGGCAATCCTTCACATCTTTTCAAAATGTATTTACATATTTCCTCCAAGTGAGGAGGACATGGATTGCCTTGGAATGTCTTCCTGCAAAGAAGGTCCCAAGAGTCTGATGGGGGCAAAGGCTCCAAATTATATGTCTTGCCTTCCGACTCTATGCAAGCGGTGGTGGCTACATCGGTGTTACGTGTGGTGAGCACAACTCTGCTGCCAAAGCTGTTATTAGGCAGAGCATATTGCACGGCACGCCAGGCATGCAAGTGCCACACATCATCCAAAACAATTAAATACCTTTGTCTCTGCAGCAGCTTCTTAATTGTTGTCTTCAGTCGATTGTTGTTCATGTTGCCAACTTCTGGTGGCACTCTTCTTTTTATTGCTTTGTAGAGCTGTTCAACCATGTCCTTGAGGAGGTCTTCAATTTCGAAAGATTGGGAAACGGTGATCCATGCTCGTACTTTAAAATTCTTTTTCACTTCTGCATCGTCATAGACTTGCTTTGCCAAGGTGGTCTTCCCCATCCCTCCTTGTCCAGCCAGAGAAACAACTTCGCGCCCCAAACCACCCTCGATCAGCCACCCAACAAGCTGCTTCTTGCGCCCGTCGATTCCCACCAAATCTGATTTGTCCAAGAGAAGGGCATCGTCACGATGATCCTCCCAAGTGTTGAAAGCACCGGCTGAGCCCAAACCTTGTTCCACTCTGCTGAACTTATGACGAAGTCTCTTGTGGACCTCGCTGATTGTTCTAAGCCTCAAGTTAACACTCTTCAATTCTGCCGCAATCCGATAACAAGCTTTTGCATTCTTTATGCAGCAGGCAAATCTACAGAGAGAGCCGTAGAACCCAGTTCCATGGTTATGTCTTTGGAGAAGTGTGTACTCCGCAAGAAGATCCTCGGTCTCATGCGCAATATCTCTGACTTGCTTAACCCAGACGCTGAGCTCTTCATCACTCTCCTGCAACGCATCTGCAATTCGCAAGAATGCCCTCATCCGTTCAAGCTCCCATCTTAAACACACAACTTCTTCCCGAACTCCTCTTAACAGATTGACCTCATTGTCAAAAAGGGCCGCCAACTTTTCGATAAGAAAGTTTACTGGACTCTCCGCCATGTGAAAATGTCAAAAAGGGCTGCCAACTTTTCGATCAGAAAGTTTACCGGACTCTCCACCATGGAATTTCTCTCACTTTCACACTTTGGCTTGTGTCTCTAAATTTGAAGAGAGACATTGGGTGTTGACTGACTCTGTAAGCTCAAAATCTGCAGTTATATAGTAGTGATCAGTTTTACTTGTGGCTTAAGTAACAAGGCTTAAGAAGCAACAACGACTACATATATATATATATATATATATTTTTTTTTTCCAAAAGAATAATGGCAAAAGTCTAGGTAATTATGTTTGCGTGAGATTTTTAACTGAGGCATAACGTCGAACACTTGGCAGACAAACTGATAAAAGGGACTACAAAGTCAAACTTATTTTGACTTTAGACATAAAATAGCTTTTTCCCGGTAACTTCTTCCTCCTTTATGCCGACAGGAGTTATTTGATTAAAATTTCAAGAGTAAAATACAGTGGAAAAGAAATATTGAATTTGAATTTGAATATGGGTAGTGATATCACAGACAACATGTTTTTGACTATAGAAGGCTGAAATAGTTGATCTTATCGTAAAGATAGAAACGTTATCTGGGAAAGAAGATGGTGATCTTGAACAAGCCATTAATAGATAGAAATCGTCATGGCTTGCATCACAAAACCTATTGAGAAGCAACTGGAGAAACCATAGTGAATAATTTTATATTGCGTGAAAGCAGAGACACAAAGAACAAGAAGGGTATTTCATATTTGGTTTGGTAACTAGGGAAGTTTTTGTCACATAAAAAATTACTCAGCAAAATGGCTAATCAAAGTGCTTTTTTCTGTTTTTCTTTTTTCTTTTGTTTTTCTTTTTCCTTGCATGGTTAGGAATGGACGTTTGGTTCATGGATTTAAAATTATGATTTAAAATTATTTTTGATTTACGTGTATTTTTTTTAAAAAAAAATATTATAACGAATCACAAATCATGATTCGAACCATAACACGAATCCTCATACCAAACATAAACACATAAAATCTATTTGAAATAGATGTCCCTAGTAATTAAAAACAAAATGTTGTCTCCCTTTGGATCGTTAGTTCATGCCTTCATGGTATGAACCCACGTTTGGTTCATTTTTCTAGATTTGTCTCTTTGATTCACTGGTGCATTAGACAGGAAAACTTATTTAGGAAAAAAATTAAAAATACCACTCAAAATGATAAAATATATTTTTTATGCTACTTTATTTAAAAATAAATAATTATCATTCTTTATTAGAGAAAATAAAATGTCATAATATCATATAATTATTTAAAATAACATAAATAATAAATATACACATAATCATAACAAACCATGAACATTTCTCAACTTATCCCCCATGCGACTCCACCTCATATGACTGGTACAAAGACTCCTAAATCCATCCCGAGCCTAACCCAAAGTGTACAGCAAAAACTCCCACTCAAACCCATTAAAAAAAAAAAAGCCACAGTTGAAATTGGTGTAACCAAATACCAGTTGACACTTTTTTTTTGTTTAAATTTTATACTACCAAATGTTAGTTCAGACTGCAACCACAAAAGTTCTAAACCAATGGGTCAAACCAAGACATTCAAAACCACCTAATTTAAACCCACGAAGTGAATGAATATTTATTTTTTTTTAAAAAAAAATAACTTTCGTGAGTTCTTAATTAATTTTTTTTATACCCTGTTGATTAATCTTTTGAATTGTTGAACGTTAAAATTTTCAATCATGTAAATTATGAGTGGTTGATTAAAATAACTACTAGCTAAATTTTAGTCATGTATGGGATACTTTCCTGCAAAGACAAAGCAATAGATTTGGAGGATGTTATATTTCATTACAAGTTTCATGAAAAAAAGGGGGGAAAAAAGATTCAATGAATGCATGTAGGCGAAGGTGACTTGAATGCATTAAGAATTGAGTGATGACTCATGGTTATTATCCTCTCTATCATTTAAATATTTCATTTTCAGACGTCCTCTCTAGGAAAAAGTCAAGTCAGTTAATTAAACCTTCAAAATGTTTGCTTGCATTCCTCGGGTCGGGATGTGCCAGTGACTCAGTTGGAAATGGTTTTGAAATCGTGTTTGATTCCTTTTTCACTAAAAACGGAAATGAAATTGGGAAATTATTTTCATATTTTGTCAAGCAAATTAGGAAAACGCTTAGAGTCGTTTTTTCTCTTCCATTTTTAGTCGTTATCGCATGTGACAGTAAATACTTAATTCATGAAGATTTTTACTCTTAAAATTAGATTAGGGAACGAATCGTCTTAAATTTAAAAATCGACATAGTGAACATGGAGCGTTGAGATCTTATTTCCAAGGACTTTCGAGTTTATGGTTTTTATGATCTAACATGGAGAAGGAGAGCTTTCTCCATCACTCAAATTATGTATAGAATATGAACAATGCAGTGTTAAACATCACCCACTAATTATACATATTGTGGCTTACAAATTGTCAACTAGACTCATGGATTAAGTGAATGTTTAGTGCACCGTAATATATTATGTTGTTTGGTGCCCGAAACAATTCAGCTAATTACATTCTTGATTAATCATCTATTGCATCAACTTCTCTCTAACAAAATAGCATTAATCAAATTCAACATGCTATCTTCTTGCATGGAGAACTGGATCAACCAAGTGATTTCTGCTGGTAAGTTGGCCAAGCTTCTGTACTAGACCTTGACATCGTCTGTTCGAGAAGCCAAACTTGAACAATTTCTAATGTGAGTTGTGCATAAACTAGCATATACATTGTGTTGGGGAAAAACACACCCATATACTTATGCGGCAGAAAAATAAACTGAAACAAAAATAACAGAAAAATAGAGAAGATAAAGATTTAAGTGGTTCGAAAAAATTTCTTACGTCCACAGAAGAGGGAGAAAAATTCACTAACAGTTTTAAGAATACACACTGAAGAAACTCTCTCACTTTCTCTCTATACCCAAAATCCCTTACACTTTTTATCTATCTATCTCCTCACTTTCTCTTGCTCTTTAAAAGAGACACTCTTTCTCTGTACTTTTATCTGAATATACATAAAGCCTTATACAAAATACTTATTTATATACTCCTAATAAACTAAAAAATAACCTTTGCTCAAAAAAAAAAAAAACAATAACTTACCTATAAAACACAAAATAGTAACTTTCTCAAAACTAATTTGAGGCACTTTCTTAACAATCTCTACCTTGACCCAAATTCTCTCAACTCACTTTCTTAACAATGTGATTATTTAAATTTAAATTTAAATTTTGGAACACACATGTGAAGGTGTTCACACAGTATGAATGCCCAGCATAGTGTGAATCCCTCTGGATTCAGTTGCTTGCTCTCCAAGTTATCCAATTGACTTATTTGTTAAGTTGTCCAATTTAAAATTCAAATTGATTTAAGTTTGACTTAAATTTAATTTTGAATTTTAGTCAAAATTGAACTGCAGGATAAATACAGAATTTTACCCTATTATTTGCCTGCAATTGCGCTTACCAGGGAGGAATCTCCCTGTGGTGGCCGGCCAACATATGGATAAGGGAGAGAGATTTTGTTTCAAAAATCAAATTAGAAGTTGGAGATAATTATCAAGTTTTATCTTGGAGATAAAGATTATACTTCTTCTTGGAGTCTGACTACTACTCTATAAATAGGAGATTGCAAAAAATTAGAGAAGATAAATTTTGCTCTCTCCTAGCTATAATGGCCAAATTCTATAAAGTGAAAAAAGGAAAAATTTTCTCCTAAATTTCATGTCATGCATGTGTTGGTGTTCGTGAAAATTGAGTGTTTATTTGCTAATTTTGTTTTGTTTCAGGTGTGCCCACACACACGTCTTCGTAGATTCTAAGAATTGATGAGGAAGATTCAGGTGTTCCAAATTAGCTTAGAGTAAAGAACGTTCGTGGTCAAAGAACTCAAGTTATCAACCTAATCGTTCGCTAGGTATATAAATTAATTTGATTAATTTACTCGTGCATAAATTAATGTAATCTATAGAGTGTCTCAAATTTTTATGAAAATTTTTGTTATACACGATCCGCTAAACACACGCTTCCGCATCTGAAATTGTTTCGGAAACCAACAGTTAGCATATCCAATTTCTGAAAACCAAGTAGGAATTTCGCCTACAACATGAAAACTACAGTTTTCAAATTAAAGTGGTTTCCCATGATTTATGAAAACTATGAAGACTCATGATCAGTGTTATGCCATGTAATGTCATGATATGCTTTGTTGAGAAATGCCATGTTTATGACTCAATATGTTATATGTTATGTGAGATGTTATGCGATAGCAAATTATTTTTGCATACTCATCTTATGTACCATATAAGTATGTTCATGAATGTGATGTTATGTAGTAACATGTCATACTACATACACATAATAAGACAAGTGAAATGAATAAGTTTAGTTAAGAGTGTCATACCAACCTCCGCACGTGAGGTAATCAAGACATCGCGAGGGAGACCAGTTACTATACCTGCGCGAGGGAGACCAATCTAATATAGTAAATGAGATCATGGTGTCGTTGGGGACCTCACAAGCCCTAACTTCCGGATGATTGCGCGCAATTAGAATGAACACTCGGGCACCATGTTAAGTAAGAAAAGATGAGTTAGATTTTAAGACATGTTTATAATGAAGCATAATCGATTCATGTATAGTTTGATAAATGTTTTAAGTTATGTTGTTAGTATGAATTCCTATTTGCTGAGCGAAAGCTCATTCAATTATGTTCGTGTTGTTGGCAAGGAACCTATCAGCAATATATGATGGATAGTGGCAAGCGGCAGACGAATGGTGAAGATGAGAAATAATACTGCTTACAAATAGTTTTCCGCAATAAGTTTAAAATAAGTTATGTATGTACGATTTACTAATTTTCAAGTATGTATGTACGTATGTATGTTATAGAAGAACAAGATTGTAATTATACAACCTTAGTCTAGAAAATTTTGAAATTTAAAATGTTGCTCAGCTCGTGCAATAAATGTTTCAAATTTAAAATAAGAAAAATTATAACGATTAATTTTATAAAGGATTTAAAAGTATTGAAATTGAAATGTGCAACAAAATCTAATTTAGAAT